TCTAATACACCGGTTTGCACTAATGTGTTACACATTAACTCAGGTTTCACATCTACGCAGGGCTACTGCTAGAAACGACAGGCTCTCGACTCCTGTGTCCTCATCACCTTGTAAGTTTCAGCCAGCAAATAGCCAGGCAACGGCGAGCATTTAATGATCAGAAGCCAAACAAAACAAAATTTGTGCTCCCAGTGGAGAAGGGTTCATTTTGCAGCTGTGAGATACTTCCATGTCCTGAGGAAACCAGTAGACTTTCACTCCACTGCTGCCTTGAAGATTTAAAAAAATGTTATGTAGAGCATAACTTAATGACTTTCAGAGCTTTACTATTTTCTTCTCAGTCATTCTGTTTTAATTTCTTTCTTTTTTACTTTTTCTAGCAGTGTGGGGTTTGTGGTTTGTTTTGTTTTGTTTTTTAGCTATGCATGTGCCAAAGTTCTGCTTTCGGGTGGGGGGGGGCGTGCTTTGGAGTTACCATTCTTGCCCCTGTTTCTAGGGAGAGGCTTGCAAATGTCTCCCTTTCAGGCTTTCCTGGCAATAGGCGACTCTTGGGCTATGTGTGCGGAACGGCTTCATATATGCCAAGTTTCAGCTTCCTGGATGCTCTGGTTGTGTTGTGCAAAAGTCAGAGGTTCCTGCATACACTGTCACTTCCCACACGCATCTCTCTGTCCTCCAGCCAGCCAAGCAAGAGGCAGAACCACAGTGCAAGGACATATTCCAGCTGGCAAAAGAACCCAAGGAGGATGTAGTGCTGGGCCACTGCAGCATGGGGAGAGGAGGTTTGGCCTGGAAAGCAGTGTGACCTGGGAAGAGTCCCAGGGGCCAGACAGAAAGCCCTAGAGGGCCACATTTGACTCTGAGACTGGGATTCTCCACACGTGTGTGAGTGCATGTACGTGATCTAACAATATCATGTGCAATATATAATTGCTCACCTGGTACAGAGAAGGTCTTTTGCCTTTTGACAGCCGCATGATAATTCCTACTGATGAACCTTTCCCCCAGCATGGGTATGTAGTGATGGGGAGAGCTTCTGCTAAATGATGCCCAGTTGGTAGCTCTTAAAAGCTCACAACCAATTCTAAGGAGGAAAAATGGCAGTAGCAGCCCCCCAAACTCATTTCCTTTAGTGTTGTGAAAAAGTGTATGTGTGGATTGAACTGAGGACTGGTTTAATGCAAGTTCACTCATTACAGTGGTACCTCGGGTTAAGAACGTAATTCGTTCTGGAGGTCCGTTCTTAACCTGAAACTGTTCTTAACCTGAAGCACCACTTTAGCTAATGGGGCCTCGCACCGCCACTGCGCAAATTCTGTTCTCATCCTAAAACAAAGTTCTTAACCCGAGGTACTATTTCTGGATTAGTGGAGTCTGTAACCTAAAGTGTCTGTAACCTGAAGCGTCTGTAACCCGAGGTACCACTGTACTAGATAAGCTTGTCCAATGTCTGCTAAACTGACATCTTTTAAAATTTTCACAGGAGTCACTATGATAATAACTTCATGCCTTAAAAAAAACACACAAAGCAAATCAACTGTTATTTCATGCAGCGGTAGTATCTGCTAGAGGGATAAATACCAGTGTGGTATTTCTTACAATGCACATGTAGAGTGTGAATGACCATCCTTAAATCAGGGGAAGGGGACCTCAGTTTAGTGGCCCAAATATGGTCCTCTAGCCTTCTCTATCTGTCCCTAGTGACTCTTCCCATGCCACACCGCTCTCCGGGGTGTGTGTGTTTGTGTGTGAACTAGCCTACTGCTCAAAGGTAAATATTATATTCACTGCTCCATCCACTTTTGCCCCTAGCCCCACCCACTGTTGGAATCTGGCCTCCAAAAGGGAGTGTGGTCCTTGAGCTGAAAAAGGTTTCCCAACTGCCTAAAATGCTTGAATTTCTTTCTTGCTTTAGGGTCGCTGATGTCTGGCCATGAGTATTTTGACAGGTGCATATATTTCCCCATGATGTTTGGATATTTGCTGCAGGAAACAAGCACAATTACCACACAAAGTGCTCTCAGTTTTGTGCCCAACGTAAGTCAAGGGAACTTGGGTACTGCCAGAATTTGCTCCCTTATTCCACATTTGAGAGTTGGAGACTGGAATGTTTAAAAGGTCAGCATTACGAAATAGTTCTTAAAAACAGATTCACTGTTTCACTTGCAGGAAAACAAAGCAGTAAAGTGAATTGCAACCACCCCACTTACTTTAATCGGTCCAGAAGTGGCACTGGGGTGTTAATGTGCTCCTATTCTGAAGCTCCTCTAGAAGAAGATTGTTTTGCTGCTTGGTGTTGCAGCAATATTAGAGCTAAGCAATCCACTTTCTCCACACTGTGCACCAATTTTGTAAACCTCCTTCATGTAAACCAGGGGTAGAGAATAGTATTTAGGTGACGGTGAGGCAGGTGGATGTGGCGGGTGAGTTTAGGTATTTAGATAATGTTTTCACTTAACGTTGCACTGGATTTTTACAAGCGTAAAATAGATAATGCTTGGTTTATCTCCATGATCTCAGTAGATTGGTGGCATACAAATGTGATAAAATAAATGAGTGTGATAAAATAAATGAATCAAGACTTACCAGTTGTAGGAATGCAAAATTATGCACAGTTATGTTTGTAGGACCCACTTACAAAATATGAAAATAGACTAAGTGTGGAATGAGCTATGTCAAATGATGGATTTTTATTGAAAAGGTGCGTTCAGTGTGGCAGGGGTAGGGATGGGAGCTGGAAATGAGAGAAAATTAAAGGGTGGCTAAAGCTTCAGTTGGCTAGTCTAGCAACTAGTCCTTTTTATCCATATGAAGTTAGATTTGCTGAGCTGCAGCTTAAAAGAAGTCAAGGATATAGGTGGAAGTTTGTATAAACAGTGGAGGCTCTTAGTAACAAAGAAAGGCTTGCCACAATCTTTTTACTGTAAGATTAGAGCAAACACTAGTTTCCATACGTGAGTATGTGGGAAGCAACTTTTCCCTATTAGCCAATAATCTTATTTGGGATGGCAGTAGCTAATGGAAACCAACTTATTGTAAAATATTAATTTTCTTTTGCCCTGTATATTGTTAAATATTAATGTTTATGTTTTGTGTAAATAGATGGGTTGCTTTGACAATACATTCATATCTCATTTTAGCATCTAAATGAATAAAGCATGAATTGTAAATGTGGTTATATGGCAACATTGGGTACACACCCCACAGGGGGGAAATTTTATTTTTAAGGGGGGCAATTTGAGAATGAGTTATTAACAGTTAAGGGCCTTTTAGGCTTCCTCCATGTGAATAGGAGTTCACTTTGTAGTCGGTTGGACTTTTCTCTGCATGAATCTGCCATAGCGGAATAAAAATCCAGCTGCTAAATTGCCTATTATTATCTTTATTATTTATTAAATTTATATACTGCCCTTCATCCTTATTGTGCGTCGTAGGGAATGCATATCATACAAAGTCATTAAAAAAATTACTTGTGACATACTACTAGTCCTAATGTGAGTGACTACTCTGTGTGGCATTATCAGTGTTGCTCTATTTATCCCATGCTACTTAATGTGGAACATGTTGGGTTTCTAGGTTGCAACATTTTACAGGGGAAAACTTGTTTTTAGGATTACCAGTTTCCAACCCAGAAAGCTAAAACCACCTGCATCCAAGCAAAGAAAGCTGCAACTACCCGCATCTGGGAATTAGTAAAACTATATGCTAGTTCCCTGACAACCCCAAGAGCAAATTAACACAGTGTTATATACTGGAGGGTATGTAAAACTATCTCTAAGTTCCATTTACCTTTAGATTTTGGTACAGCAGGCATTTGGAAAGACTACAGCATGGTGCTGAAATGTAATTATTTCCCAAAGCATAAATTTACTAGGAAGACAGACATACTGTTCCTCAGTAGCATTCATAATTCCAAACGTCAGAGCGCGACTATTTAGTGTGACTTGTTGAGCTGCAATATAAGAGATTGGAAGTGTTGATCTGCCACCTGGACTGACTACTCCATTGTAATACCTAATCCCCTAAATTGCAAAGGGCTTTTGAACATATTAAGCATATTTTTCTTGGTTTGATGCTTTTGGAATAATGTCTCTGTCGTCTGGGGCCGCTTGTTACAATGTTCCACTTTTTACTCTCCTATTTGCCGGACTTCTACTCTTTCGTGGGAAAAGCAGCAATGCTTCCAATACGGTCTGTGAAAAAGATTTTCCCCACTGTTTTATAATGAAAGCCTTTTTATACAAGCCTCGTCTGTGCTATGAAAAGTTACCCAGATCTGACAAGAGGCACAATCTGCCAAGCATTGCTTCTCAATGGCTCTGGCTCATTTCCTCGGAGCAAACCTCGGATCCACCGTGGGTAAGGCACTCCTGTGGCACATAGAGCTGAAAAGGTGGGGTGGGAGCACCTGTACGTTTAGAAGGAGAAGAATCAGGCTTTCCTTTCTATCTGAAAACAGGTTTTACAAGTACTTGCTATTAAGGTCCTAACAAAGGTTACAGTGCCAGTTGTGCCTATTAAAACATAGCTAAATGCCTTTTACTGCCAATGCAGAGAATGGGTCGGTGGGTGTGCTCACATGCACACATGCATGCATAGCACCTGTGCACATCAAAGCTCCTGCTGATGGGCCTGGTTAGGTGACTCCCACCCATACTGTTTTTGCATCACAGTCAATAAAGGATAATATTCCAACCATCTCAGGAGCCAAATACAGCACCGGGAGTTTACATATAATTCCCAGCAACAGATCGCAGATCAGCCTGTATATCATAATTCCCAGCAACAGATCGCAGATCAGCTGTATCACTCTGTGCAACAGAAAGCCCCATGTCTGCAGAACTGCAGTTATGAAAGCGCACAAGGAGGAATTCTTTGGATGGAGAACTCCAGCGGAAGGGAGTACTCTGCAAGAAAGGAACACTTTGCTAATTGTGCAAACAGCCATGGCCAACAACAAATATAGGAGGGGCAGATGGATAATGTTTGTCACATCTCAGGACCCTTGCAGGTGTACTGCTGCGGGACACGATGCAGATACCCTATGGAATTGCAATTCTGCTGCAACAGTGACTGCAAGAACCGGCTGCTCCATACAGGTAAGCCCGTTTCCTGAACTTCTTCCATCTCCCTCTCCTCGCTTTAAAGTATGCCGAGCACTCAGACATGTATCAGAGTGTCTCCTCCCATACCCTTTGCCTTGCAATGTGGGGAAACTGCACTGGTTTAACAAGCCTTTCTTGCTCAAAGGGACGCAAGGCATGTAAGTGCTGTGGGGACATGGGAGAGGGGGCTGCTAGCCACAACCCAGGGAATACAACTTACATGTGTTAGGGTGGGTTGTGGGCAACACATTGCTAGTGAAAACCATGCACTCCCTTCTTCTTAATGGAATTGTTGGCCAATCACTCACGACTCTTTCTTCCTTACAGGATCAGAGCCAGGGCACCTGGAGCAGAAAAAGCTGTCACTGGAGAAGGGGGTACCAGTACAGCTCATTATATTGCATGGGTGAGTATTGGCTCAGTTGCTATATTGTCTCCTCCAGCAGGCTGAATTTCCAAAATCTGAGGTGTAGCCAATGAAGTCCTACTCTGTAGACCCGTTGAAATTAATGGAACTAAGTGAGTCATGCCCATTAATTTCAGTGAGTCTGCTCTCAGCAGGACTAGCAATCCATGCAGCCCACTGATAGCTGTGGTGGTGGTGGTGCCAATAGGAGAAGGGGGGCTGGGGAATGTGGAGCAGAAGAGCACAGAGATATCGCACTCCTTCTTGAAGATGCATTTGCCAAATGAGCACCCACTCATTCATCTGTTGCAATAGCTATTCGTTATTCGTTCCTACGCCCATGTCTGTCTTGTCTCTCCACAGGCCACCAAGTAGCCACTGAACATGCACAGGGGAAAGGATGTTTCTTACCGCTACCAGTGCAGAACACCAGGCCTCCAGCAGCAGCAACCAGTGGGAAACATGTGTTCCTACGTGGGGTTGCTGCCTTTTAAATATCCCTGGGCTCCTGTGACTCTCAGAAGCACATGACAGACAGAAATGCAGCAGGGGCAGTAGCACCCTTGATGCAGATGCACTGAGCTGCACTTGTTGCTCTACTGCCCGTCGTGTCACACAGAGTGGCAGGAGTCCTATAGCCAGTAGCAACCCCACGTTGCTAGGATGCTCTCAGTACTCCCTTCAACGCTGAAACTGTTCAATAAAAGCTTGTGCCAGTGTCTGCTGTGTTTTTGTCCTGTTGATGGCTGTCCAGCGTCTTCACTGTGGGAAACTCGCAATAGGAGGAGGAGGGCACTGGGCTTTCCATCATCACAGCCCTTCTAGGCTGACTGACTGTGCGGGAATCAGATCCACACCTCTCCTTTTACACTGCATTGCTCTGTCCTACTGCATTGCTAAGTGGCTGGATGTGTTTCCTTCCGTGAGCTTGCTTTTGTAATGTGTACTCTTCCCTGTCCAAGTGGCTCTCTCCCACTCCCCCTGGCTAAATGGTTGTTCCCTAAACATAGACACCAACATATACTTATTGTGTGAAATGTTACAAAAAGCATCTGTGCACATTCTCAGAGCTAGCCCACCCGTGAGGTTGGGTGAGGTGTCTGCTGCAGGTGTCACTCTCCTGGAGCGGTGGCATCCTGTTTGGCTGCCCAGAGTTACTGCTGATTCCCCCAGCCTTTGGGGGCAGAGAGGGACTGGTGACAAAGCTATGCAGAATGCCTCTCCTTCTGCCGAGTCAGTGAGAGGGCAGGCACTCTGCCACTCAGCTTTGCCACTAGGCGGGAGATCTCCCACCCACCCAGCAGTGTGATGGAGCTTTGCACCAGCTTCTCCTGAATGGAGGAGTCCATACAAAGCTCCACTGGCAGGTAGGAGGGGAGGGGGGATTGGGAATAGATCTCCTCACCACTTCCTGGTTGGGGAGTCTCCTTATGGAGTTTGCGCCCAGTGGGGCATTTCACCTCGGGTACTGACCTGCCATGGGCTCCCTCTCTGCATTCTTGATGTTGCAGGGACCTTGTTGTGAATAAATTGGCACTCCTTCCTCTGGTCCTAGCTATTTTCCTGACCAAAGCAGGGGTGGTACATGTATTTCAGCCCAAGGGTTACATTCTGTTGCAGAAATGTCCACAGGGCCACATGGTAGTGGAGGGTGGGGTCAGGTGTAAAAATGAGTGGTGCAATGTAGGTGATGCTTATTTTTCTACACTGCTTTGCCTATACATATACCTCTCTCCATCTGAGAGGACCTTTTCGGTGGCTGCTCCCAGATTGTGGAAATCCCTTCCACCTCTCTGCTTTCCTTTTGCCAGCAGACAAATATGTTTGGCCACCAGCTGGCTGTTGCAGCAGGGTCTTCTCAGGGTGTTGTACTTTGTGTGTGCGCGCATGCGCTTCTAAATGCTTTAATGTGTTTTCAGTGCTGTTTATAATAGGGTTACCATTTGTTTTAATATTTACGGTATACTGTGTGTGTGTGTGTGTGTGTGTGTGGTGTTTGTATCTGCCTTAATTTATGCTGTGAGCTGCCCTGCACTGAGAGAAGGGTGGAGTATAAAATAAATAAATCCAGACAAGCTAGAGGCAGCACCAGAGTTCAACAACATATACCAGTCAGGCAAAAACAATCAAGGAGGACACAGCAGGGGTGGGGCCTGAAGGTAAGGGGTGGGGCCTGGGGAGAGGTGTGCAGAGGCACATCTGCCCCTGAGTCTAAGATTCTGCATCCCTGCATTTAAAGGGATATCCCAAGGGATACCAAGGAATTTGAACCCCCATCAGAGGACAGCTCTGGAACCTGTGGTTGCTTTTCTCCTAATGCCTAGGACACAGGAGTCTTGTGGTAGGGTGAGCCCTTATTCTTTTCTCCTGAGGGCATCCCATGTGTATGGGAGGAAATATAGAATGGGTTCTGTTGACACCAAGTGTCATACCTAACCATGGTGTTACATAGGTATTTCTGCCTTCCCTGCTTGGTGTGAGTAGAGGGCAATGTCAAGAGTGGTGGACAATGGTAGAGTCACTAGTAGTAGTGTGGATTGGTGGGCAGTATTGCTGCATTGTTTCTTCTTCACATTGGCATTGTCTTTCTTTCTTCTTTGCTGCTTGGAGTGCATAAGGTTGCAACTCTACTATGGCAACGTAACATTGGCATAGCCATGGCACAGTGGCTGGCCATGTAGAGTCTGTGAGAAATCGGAGGCGTGAGATGGAGCATCTGCAAAGCTAGAGAAGCTAAGCAGAGAAGCCTTTTAAAAAATGCAAGTGTGGGATTAATCTCACAACGTTGAACGCTTGAGAAATATGTGCTGAATTAGTCACTGAGACATCAAAGAGAGTTTTAATGAGATTGACATTTAAACCATTTCAGATCATTGTACAAAAGAGATTTTAGTCTTTTTTTAAAAAAAAAAATAGTTAATGAACATAGAATAGAATAATGGTTTTCCAGCACTGTTCTGGGAAACACCAGGTTCCTTGGAAGCTCATGAGAGATTCCTCAGTGAGAAGGAGTGGTGGACAAGCTTGCTGGAGATTTATCTTCCCTGATATGTAGATTCACGTACGGTGCAAGCTCAATATGTACATAGGTATGGTGAGGTCTAACAGGCCTGTTCTGGGCCTTCCATAGTCTCTGCCCATAACACATGCTAACTGGGGTTAGGGTGTTGTAGTGCAATGACCTATTTAGGGCCCTATGTTGGCTATCCCTGTCCAAGATAGTAATACCAGCAGGATAGGTCTTTAGGACAGGTATCTTGTGTTACTTCACTTAATATGGTTTTACAGGGAGAGGGATTTTTAGATAGTAATGTGTATGACTTAAAAATAAGGTAAGCCAGCACTCTTGCTCATTCTATGGACTTGGGGTGGTATTCAACTAAGTTTTACTTAGCGTAGACCCACTGAAATTAATGAGCATGACTAAGTTCATTATTTTCATTGGCTCTGCTCTGAGCAAAACGTAATTGAATACCACCCCAAGTCCATAGAATGAGCAAGAGTGCTGACTTACCTTATTTTTAAGTCATACACATTACTATCTGAAGATCCCTCCCCCTGTAAAACCATATTACGTGAAGTAACACATATTAATTACCATCTAAAGTGCTGCCCCCAAGACCATTAAATCCAGTGTGTGTGTTCTGGTAATACTTTAAGACTAGAGTAGTCTTTCCCAACCTTAGGTCCCCAGATGATGTTGGACTACAATTCCCATCATCCCTGACCATTGGGGTCATCTGGCTGGGACTCATGGGAGTTGTCGTGAATCAACTTATGGGGACCCAAGGTTGGGAAAGACTGGAAGAGTGTAACATTATCCCGTTGCACCACTGTCCTCATGAAGGGGTTTCTCAACAGACAAGTCAAGGTAGGAAAGACTCATTGAAACTTGAAAGGTTGGAAACTTCCATAACAGAGGAGAGAAACTACTGGTTGAAATTTTCAAGTCTTCCTTGTTGTGAATGGCATTGAATGTTAAAATGGGGCAAAGGGAACAGGAAACGTTCTCTTTGTCACACTTCCTGTTCCTCTGCATTTCCATCTTGAGCAAGAAAAGTTATTTTTCATATTCCATGCTGAGGGGACTGCGCATGATCCTGATGTAGGGACAGCTTGTCCATCTCTCTGTTAGGTTGCAGTCCCATGCTCACTAACCAGGAAGTCTCATTGAACTTGTGGGACTTACCTCTGAGTAGCACATGCCCAGGATTGCACTATGAAAACTGTTTCACAACAGATGGAGATACTGGGCAACAAGCAGTGTGAAGCTCTTACATTCCCTGTTACCTTTGCATAAGCCGAAGAGGCTTAGAGGGAGAGATGATGGACATGGTAGGAGCTACTATGCATGACTAGAGCTACCCCGCCTGTAGGGGCTGCCCCACCCAGTGACAAAGCTCAGGTCAAGGAAAATAGATGAAATATAAACCCAGTTGAAAATATCCCTGCATCTGTAAATGGAACTCAGAGTGCACAGTTAAGCACTTGATTTTGGTGGGATTTAACTTTTGCTGTGTCTTTTCGTACACATCTAATTGTCCAGAGCCTTTCAACATAGCAACCGCAGAGGCAGCGAAGGTAACCAGCTTCTTGCCAAATTCATTGGGGTATTTTTGTTGCATCATGCAGCAAGAGCAGTTATGATGTTGCAAAATGCTTGTGTTGCTGCAATGTTCTTCTCTTGCTGCAATATTGCAAGAAAAGAAACTGCAAATCTTTCAGCAAGCACACATTGTATGCAGTTTTGAGCAGCCTTTCAAACTGCAACTCTCATCAGCTCCAACCATTATGACTAAAGGTCAGGGATGATGTGAGGTGTCGTGCAACAGCACCTGGAGGATGTCAGGTTGGGAAAGGCTGAGTTAGAGAATAATTTGTTAGTTAAGCATAAGAATGGCTCATTAAGGCTACATACATGCTATTCCTTTAAAGCACATTTGAAACATTCTTTCCCTCAAAGAATGATGTGCTGTAGTTTGCTAAAGGTTTCTGGGAATTGTACCTCTGGAGGGCTAAACTACAGTGCCCAGAATTCATTGAGGGAATGAATATGTATCAAATGTGGTATAAAGGTAAGGACATAGGAATAGCCTACTGGATCAGGCCAATGGCTCATCTAGTCCATCATCCTGTTCTCATAATGACAAACCAGACCATGCTGATTGCATATAGTGTGTATACAACCTAAGAGATGTGTTTGCTGGACAAAAGATAGGTAAATTAAAGGGATCCCTGACCATTAGGTCCAGTCGTGACCGACTCTGGGGTTGCAGCGCTCATCTCGCTTTATTGGCTGAGGGAGCCGGCGTACAGCTTCTGGGTCATGTGGCCAGCATGACTAAGCCGCTTCTGGCGAACCAGAGCAGCCCACAGAAACAGCGGTACCTATTTATCTACTTGCACTTTGACGTGCTTTCGAACTATTAGGTTGGCAGGAGCAGGGACCGAGCAACGAGAGCTCAACCCGTTGCAGGGATTCGAACCACCGACTTTCTGATCGACAAGTCCTAGGCTCTGTGATTTAACCCACAGCTCTACCTTCAAAATGTGTGGAGTTTACAAATGATTCCACACATACATTGTATAGTGCAACTTTTGCCAGTCTGGTGCCCCCAGATGTTTTGAACTACAAAAATATTTGTGAAGTCCCAAACATGTGGAGAGCGCCAGGTTGGCAAAGACTGGTAAGGAGGAACACTTAGAATAGAAGGCTGTGGGCGTTCAAGATAGGAACCTGCCTTATATGCCCCCTCTTCCTTCACTTGGAACATTGTTTCCAGTCTCCTGGGATAGGACAAGTTTAAAACTAAAACAAATAATTATAAATATAACTTTGCTAGATTAGACCAAAACTCCATGAAAATCAGAAAGAGCCAGTTACTATTGTTCTTTATATCTCTTTCCATCTGTAACATGATTTCCCATAACCTGAAAATGCTTTCGTTTAGCATGAAACCTATTAGCCATAATTGCTTTTAAAACCCGGTTATGGAAAACCAATCTGTGAGATTAAAATTTGAAGAAACTTGACCACTTCCATTTATCTGTTTCTTTTCTTCTTTTACATGCATGGTTTCTCTTCCCTGTTTTTTAAGCATGAAGTCATAAGTTGAGACAAAAAAAAGAAAGAAAGGTAGAGTTGCAGTCTGCTTAATTAGAAACAGGAAGTTTTCTTTAGATTTGAGACACAATGATCTATTTATTAGAAACTGCTCTTCTGTA